GAGGCAGAGGCAGGCGGATCTCTGTAAATCCTGGTCTACAGAGTGAGCTCTAGAATAGCCAAAGCTACACAGAGAAACCCTGTCTCACTACCACCCCCCCCAAAAAAAAACCCCAAGACAATGTCCTTGTTTGTACTTCAGAAGCTCTTAAAACTTGATGTTTAACTTTTGAGTGTTTTGCACTCCACTGACATTCTCTGTGATCCACAGGAACAGGCTATTATGGAGTGAGCCCATTAGACCTTGAAGGCACAGTTATCTAGATTACAAAATGGAGATTATAGGTATCATCCCATCATCGTATGTTAAATTATGCCTTAAATGTTAAAGTAAAATTTACTCCTAAACCCCTAATAAAACAAAAAGGCCTACTTACTGGACAACAGAAAAGACTGGATGTTTTATTCTGGGAGAATCTTTGCTTGTGTGTTTCCACAGGATGTTGACCCAACTTTGTGGGTGCCAGACCAGTTGATTGTGCTAAGATTTCACCCATGGATTCAGAGGCAGGGACTTTCGCCTCTCCCATCCCCTCCATGCCCTCCTGGCCGTCAGCCTCTCCTCCTGTTTCAGATACTCTTATCAAGAGAAGACACTGAGGACAAGGTTCCTGCATCCTCCACCTTGTTATACGCTGCAACCCTGTGTTATTTCACCTTTTGCTATTCTATACCCAATAGCTGTGGGGGACTATAAACATTACTAAAAATGTGTCTATATTGTGAAAAATGCTATTTGACTAACTGTATTGATTCTTTCGTGAGATCTAATATTTCTCTCTTTGTACTTCAGCCACCTTCTGTTTTGCTGCCTGTTAAACTCTCACAACCTTGGTATGAGGATTCTGCTTTGCATGCATTGGCGTGGGTTACTAATGCTCTCCCACAGCCCAAGAAATGAATTGCGGAAATTATTCTATGTACTGGGATCTATGTCAGCCTCATGCGCTCCCGTGCAACTGGTGCACACTGCTCATCACGTAAATTCCTTATCTCAAAATGTTTCCTTGACATTGATTATTCAAAAAATAACTGGCCCCCAGTTGCCAGGAGCTATCAGCTCTGGCCCCCAAGTCTCCAACTCTATGCACACCTCCTCAGTCTCCTCTGACCTGTCCAAGCTGCGCTTTAATGCCAGGCCTTCTGTCTGCCTAGTAAATTGCGCCAGGCTCCAGTTCCTAGCTTTACCCCTGTTCACCAGCCTCTACTCAAATGTTTGGCTTGCTGCCACAGCGGTTCTTAAAAGGGCCTTGTCTGGCTTACTGGCCCAGCTCCTATGTCTGGAATTCTTGGCTTACTGCTTGAATCTTGTGTTTTAAGCTTGGATTTTTTGGTAAGTTTATATTACATGCCTATCACAACGGGCACCACTTGTAAATGCATGTTTTCCTATCTCATCCCAGCTCCTGAAATAATGACTCCAAGGCTTAAATATATTTACAAAATCCTAGGCCAATATAGCTAGGATGTTCCATTAATTGCTCATGACGAATATCCCATTTATTCTATTCTTAGAACCGCCACATGGCTGCTTACCATGGCTCAGTTTCATAAGTTCATCTTCTTCAGAATCCTGGGGTGAATCCCTCACCTCTGACTATCTCCCAGAGTTGCCCTCCCTGTCTCTCCTCCGCCCCCAGAGGACTCCCCTCTCATTATTTCTGGTCTCAGCTAACAGGTCATTAGCTTTTTATTGACAGGTGTTGCTTCCATACAGACACAAGATTTCTTCTACATTTTCCTGGAAGCTGTACTTAATGGCTTCCATCTACTTTTCACTGGTCATTCATATGCACAAAGGAAACAACCTTAACAATATTAATCTATACAGTTTTATCAAGACTATGAGTTCCATTTGTAAAGGACAGTGATAGCATAGGTAGGTGAAAGGGTTCAAAATACAACGTGGTAGTATATTGTCTCCTTCTTAGACCCCCGTGTTGTTGTGCTTGATAGTGTATGGATGTGCTCCTTAAAAATGTGTTCTTTTTTTAAATTTCTGTTCCTCAAGTGCAATAATTGCCATTGCTGTTCCTAAGGTCACTGATCCTTTCTTCAACCTTCTCAGATCTAACTGAATCCCTCTAGTGATTTAAAACTTTTAAAAATTATTTTTACTTATAGATCCCTCTATATACATACACATGTGTATATATTTTTATTTATATATCTCTCTATATACATATACACACACATATACATACATGTAGTGGAAGTTTTGGTTTCCTTAAAAACTCAGTGAACATGTTTCTGCTTTAATCCCAAGTGTGGTTTATAGGGATGCTTTTGGTGTATCCACGGCTGATAACAGGCTCATGCAGAGGAGTGTGGCTTTGCCAGTGGTGGGCTCGGAGTGTGGGCAGAGGAGTGTGGCTTTGCCAGTGATGTGTAATCATTGCCAGCTATAGAGAGTTTAACTCTGAGGATTCTGAGAGAGTATAAATATGAGAGCAGAGAAAGAGGGAGAGGTTTTGAGACACTCCTGAGAACGCTCTGAGGAGACTGCTGCTGGTTCATTTTGCTGCTGCTGTTTGCTGGTTAGCTGTACTGCTGGGATCCTGATGATGAAGAGTGGAATTGTCCCAAGGAACTAAGTCTAAAGAGGTCTATGTCCCCTTCTCTCCACTAACCTCTTTCCTACCTAGGAGCATCGGGGCGGGGGGGGGGGGAGGGGTTGAAGAGAGGTAGAGGCATTAAGGAACTGAAAATAAAAGTTAAAAAAAAACTGCTCCTACACACACACACACACACACACACACACACACACACACACACACAGGTCTCTGTGTGTGAATGGTGTATGCCAGTGCCTGCTGGGGCTAGAGACATTAAATCTCCCTAGAGCTGGAGTTTAAGGCCATTGTGAGTTGCCCCATGTGGGTTCTGGGAATTGAAATCTGGTTTTGGTTAAGAGCAGCCTGGATGATTAAAAAAACATTGTTGTACTTTTTAGTTTAATATTCTCTTTGGTTTACTTATAGATCCCTTATCTCGTTATTGATATTTTAATTCTCATCAGATTTTTGTTCATTTTTATCCACATTATTATTTAGTTATTACCCCTGCCCCAGGATTTTAAAAACAGTAATTTTCAAGGTTTTACAAAGTTTTAAAGTGGTGATTGATTAGTGATTAGGACCCAGATCCTAGATATTTGGAGGTACATGGTCCTTTTTTTGCCCACCCTATCTCCTGTTAGGTGTGTGTAGGGACCTCCAGAACACAGGTGCAGCTGCTGTTTGGAAGACTTGAAGAAGAATAGAAGACTGGCCTGACAAGGTTTACTTGTAAAGCTTTCTCTAGCTCTTGACTTCCTGTATAGGGTAGTAAACCTGTTTGTTCTTGGTAGAGTGAGGTGTCTTTCACATGGGGGTTTCTTCTCCTGCATTAAGAAAGAAGAGGAAAGTTGGTATGCCTTTCTTATAACTGCTGCTTTTCAATGCCATTACTTCAAAGTCATATGCTGCAGTATTGTATTTTGAACTGTTGCAGGATATTTGACCACACTGTAAACCCTGAGATTGTGTTGCTTATTGGAAAAACCTGTTTCTTGTTGTGGTATAGCTCAGTCCTAGCACTCACCTTTAATCCAAGAGCTTTCTGCTTGAACAGGAATAAAGTTGACCATAGGTCAAGAGGCAGAGCAAGCAACCAGTTGACAGGGAATGAACATAGGAAAAACATAGGAATGAACAAAAAAAAAAAAAAAAAAAAAAAAAAAAAAAAAAAAAAAAAAAAAAAACAGAGAGAGAGAGAAAGAGGAGGTCAGGAGGACAGATAAATTCACATGAAATAGAAGGGAGGGACATTTAGTATGGAGGGGTTTGGAAACTGTGTGGGGAAGTCTTCCTTTGGGGAACTTTGCTGAGGAGGAAGGTCAGCTGGGTGTTCTCTCTGCCTCTCTGAACTAGCAGGCTTTCACCCCAGCATCTGGCTCTCAAGTCTTTATTGGTAAATAAATAGAATGATTGAGATTTTGTTAAAAACAACATTGAACCCTCTCACTTACCCATCTATGCTATCACTGTCCCTTATAAATGGAACCCATATAGTCTTGATAAAACTGTCCAGATTCTCATTGTTAAGGTTGTTTCCTTTGTGCATATGAACGACCAGTGAAAAGTAGATGGAAACCATTAGGTGCAGCTTCCAGGAAAATGCTTCAGAGCTGCTGGAGGTGAGTGTATCATGCACATTTCTGTCCATTGCCTAGGATGAAGGCATGATGACAGAGACTAGAGGTTGCTTTGCAAAGCAAAGCATTTGATGACTGTTGAGCTAGTATCCCGGCCCCTTTTCTCACCAGGAAAGTTAAACTTTAAAAAAAATACAGATAGCACATTTCTCAACGTCACTTCATATATACGTTGTTATGACCGACCCTTCTTGCTCTCTTTTCACCCGCTCCTTCCCCTCCTCAGTATTCCCTTTTCGTTTTCATAGCACAAGTATTTGCCATTTTTAAATTTGGTGTTTGAATTTCCCTTTCTAGGGTATCTAATCCCCATAAAGGCAGAATCTTTAAGCTCACCAACTTGGCTGCTTTCTGGAATCATCTGGGTGTATGTTAAAAACACGAGTGTGCGTGCTTGAGCTCATGATTAGCTCGCACTCCCTGGTGTTTGTAGAAGCTGCCCCTGATGACTCTGCGGCAGATTCCGAGAACCCCTGGAGCTCTGGGCCCATGGCTGGGCCAATGACCAGCTGAATTCACCAGTGAGCGCCAAAGCTCAAAAAGGGAGCCTTTCAAGCCCCGGAGCTATTCTTGCCTCGCCCCGCCCCGCCCGCAGGGCTCGCCCCGCCTCAGGGCCCGCCCACAGCCCCGCCCGGACCCCGACAGGTCCAGCGGAAACTCGTGGGCCAGCCGAGTCTGCGCTGTCGGGAACACGCTTGTGCGCCTGCGCGGTGTCAGGTACCGCGGGCAGTTTGAATTTTAGTTCCTGAAAGCTGGCATCACGGTTTGGCGTTTCCGAGACTGGTGTGCTCACGCCCCTGCGAAGGCTCTTCTCTTCAGACCCGGCGAGGTTCCTGGCCCGGGACCTGCCCGAGGCATCGCTTAGCAGGTGGGGATACCGGGCGACGCGGAGCGTGGGCTCCCGCCTTCTCCGACCTGGGTTTGTGGCCAGCCGGAGCCTGCACAAAAACCGTAAAGGTTGTGAGGTTTTGTGTGTGTGCGTGCAGTTTTGTTCTTGGTAGCTCCCTCCTGGGGTTCTCATGCATGAACTTCAGGATGTGTCGCAGTGTCAAAAGATTATACACGCCTGTTCATATCAGCTCCTTTTCACTCACCGTCACAATGACCACGCGCAATGGACCTTTCGCCCCCTCTTACTCCAGCCCCTGAGTAGCTCTGGTTTAAAGTGTCTGGATTGCAGGGACCTCCAAGACACGTTACCATTGTATGTTTGTTAGACACTCAATTTTGTAGAACTGAACAACAACAAAAAAATGCCCCGAATTGTGTTCTTTCCTTTCGAAGCAATGTTGTTTACTTGTTTGCTGTTTTTAGATCCTGAAGGTGAACAGAAATTTAGCTTTACTTAACTTTCTTTTAAAAGGCGTTTCTATGTATTTTTTTAAATCAGATTCTTTAAAGGATGGCCTCAGATCTGGAACTGCTATGCGCTTATGTAAATGAGAAGATTGGCAATATTAAGAAAATTCTGTCGTTAAGAAATCTTGGTAAGCAGAACAGACTCACTGATTTGGGTATACACAATGCATCTTGATTGTTGTTCTGCTGTGACTGTCTCTTCATAAGGTAATTCTAGATTTCCAGTGGTGATTTTTCAAAATACGTCAGTGCCATTGTCTTGAGTAATACAGAGGCGACATTAAGTAATGGGTGAATTTAACTTACTTACGTTTTTCTGAGACATAAAGGCCAATAATAAGATTTGAAGGAGTTGTAGCACCCATGGTTCCAGAGCTAAACGGATCTACCTTGCAGGGAAACAACAACAACAAAAATCTCAAATAAAAAAGGTCTGCTAAGGGTGGAGTAGCCCACAACCAGTGTCCATCACATTTGGAGGAAGCTAATCCCCATGTATCAGGGTGAACACAGCTAATTGAAAATTAATTGTTAAGGCATAAAGGTCAAAGAAACAGATGAACCTTGTCAAGTCTAAAATATTCTAAAAAGTGGGTTTCCAGGCTTTTTCCAGGAGAGTGCAAAGATTTATTGACAGAATTCTGTCTTCTGGCAAGAATATGGAACTTTTGTTATAGTTTGTGGTGTGGATTGATAGGTCAAGGTTTTAAATTTTTTTTTTTTTAAATGTGAAATTTGATATTTTCAGTCCTCACCTGGGAACTTCTAGTAAAGGAACTAGTTTATCTTGTGGTTCATGGCTCACATTCTATAAAGTTAAATCAAAAGCATGTATGAACTCCACATAGTGAGCCCTCCAGTTTTATACGCAAAGAGATCAAGACTCAGGAGTTAAGAGGCTGCCCAAGTGATTCCACTCCTCAGCGGGATCATGGCTTCTTATCTGAATTTCTTCCGTGGTACTCTCCACCCATATACCACTTTTATCCAAAAAAATCTGGTCAGCCATAGCAGTGTAACCTTTGATCCCAACACCTGGGAGTCCGAGGCAGGCAAAGGCAGATCTCTTGAGTTTGAGACCAGCTTAATCTATCTAATGGGTGCTAGGACTACATGCTGAAACCCTGTCACCAATGAACGAACAAAAGAAGGAAAGAAAGAAAGAAATTGGACTTTTAATGATTAGCTTTCTTTAGATTCTCTTTATGGTTGGATAAATATATAATTTGGGGGTCTGTAAAGCTAGATTCAAACAATCCCACCAAAGTCTGGCTGGAGTAGTGAGTTGTCCTTAACCCCTATCATTTTGTAGATGAGATAATGCTTTGTTTCCACAGCCTGTTTAACAAACCCTAGTAATTTCTCCCACTGTGGTTGCAATAACTTAGCAGATAGCTAACATCAAGTTAATTGTGTTATAAAGACCAGTAAAGAAGACCCCAAAGTATAGATGACTAACTTTTTTTTTCGAGTAACTAAAAAAAAAAAAAAAAGCGAGCTTGTTAACTCGCCTTTCTGAAATTATTCTTAGCATAAGCATCAGTGCTCTTTTAAAACTAATTTATCAGAGCTAGGTGGCACACCTTAATCCCAGTACTCGGGAGGCAGGTTTCTGAGTTTTGGGCCGGGTTGGTCTGCTGTCACAAATTCCAGGACAGCCAAAGCTATATAATGAGACCCTGTTTTAAACAACAACAACCCCAAAACTCTGAAATTAACTTACTAGTTCATTTTCATATGAATTCAGTGTCGGTTAGAATTAGCAAAATTAGAGTCACACACTGGTTTTCGAAAAGATGTAGTAATTAGCATTTAATAAGTGTCCTAATTCCAAGACGCTTTGTTAAGTCTTCCATGTCCTTTCATTTAGTAACTTTTGCAGCCCACCCCCTGTACAGGTACTGCCATCTCAGACTTCAGGCCAGGAGTGCCTAGCTGTTTCCTTTTGCCTTCACACAATCTACAGATTGTCAGATGTCAAACATTTCTCACTTATTTGCATTTCATCATTTAGCTCTTTGAAGCACATGTAAATTTTTTTTTTTTTTTTGAGCTAGGCTGTCTCTTTGTAGTCCTTGCTATCCTGGAAATCTATAGACTTAGCTGTCCTTAGATTCTCCTGCCCCTGCCTCTTGAGTGCTGGGATTAAAGGCGTGCCCAGTTACACCCAGCTGGCCTTAAAACTCAGAAAGTCACTCTTAGAACACTGTTTGGTTAGATTTTATTTACAGACGTATTTAGTGTGCGTGTTGGCTGGAGTTGCTTCTCTGCTTCCACCACGATCAAAACCAAGTTGTTAGTTGGGCTTGGCAGTTAAGTGCCTTCACATTTGAGGCATCTTGCTTGTTGTAAGTCACTTCTATTTGTGGGGAGGAAGGAAATTCAGGTTTTCCAATCCCTCTCAGATCTTTGAGTCTAGAGAGCCTAGGTGATCAAGTATAAACATGTTGTCTATAAAAGTATCTTGTCTTTGTTTCTTCCAGGTACCCAGGGTTTTTACCAGTCTGCGTTTTTGTTGTTGTTTCTATCCCTGGTTAAAAGTTTTGTGTACTGGGAATGAATTCCAAACTTCTATTGCGAATTCCCCAAGAGAACGGGCTGTATCTTCAGTCCTGCCTTCTCTATACAAACACACTCGAAAGGAAGTCTAAACATAAGTTTATCACCCGGCAAGTTAAGTTTTTCAGGTTAGAACTTAAGAATATGTCCTCTGAAGCAGGGCAACAGGCTGAGCCTCACTTGAGATTTTCGTTTCTAACAGCCTGTGGTTTGAGGCTTCACAGTCATTGGATCTTATCCACAGTAAAGTCCAGGGTATGTCATTGAAACTGAAAGCCTCCTCCCTTGCTTCCCTTTACATGTGCTGACCAGGATTGTTGGAGCCTCAGTGCATACACCCTTCTTGGTATCTGTGAGTGCCACCTCATGTCAACACCTGGGAAGAATTACCTCTTTCTCATGAGTGTTTACCTAGGCTTACATATAAGTATTATTTCTAAATGTTTTATTCTATTGAAGAAATATTCTAGAAATAAAAGAAGCAGGAAACACTTTTGGCTTGCCTCTTTCTTCCTTTACACATATACTACTTAGAAATGAAAGTTAGGCCAGGCCTAATGGCCCACTCCTGTAAGCCCCTCGATGAAGAAGCCAAGGTAGGAGGATTTAATGTCAAGGTCAGTCTGGGCTACTGCATAGCAAGAACTTGTCATTCATTAACCACAAAACAAGACAGATAAGGTTTTAGATTGTTTTTTATTTTATTTTCTCTTTATAATAGGCCAAGACCCTGCCTTGAAGACCACCTTTAGAAAAATAGGAGATGAGATTGTTATAGTAAATGAGCTTCTAAATCAATTTGAATTGGAAATTCAGTATCAAGAACAAATCAACAGTTCACTCAAGGTAATACTTTCCTAGCTTGAAGGAGAAGGCAATAAACATGGGCTCCCTGGTCACTAGGTCATGTGTAAAGGTCCTTTATGTTTATGATGCTCTTGGCTTTGTAAATTATTAGTCTGTAAAGTAATGTTGTGTTCTTGGTATAAAGGAGTTCGGAATGCCAGCTATTTCTGTGTTCGTGCTAATGGCCAACAGCCTAGAGCTTTACAAAAAGAAACATTTCTAAAGAATTCTTTGTAGGTTGAATATAAACAAATGATGCCCTGGAAAGATGCCGAGTGGAGAGCACCTGCCTCGAATGAGATGCAGGTTCTTGCCTCAGTTGCCCCTGTGCTCTCTGCCACCCTGAGAAAGCCGTTTCACTTTCTGGGTTCAGGGTTCTTGTTTAAAGAATAATGCCTGACTGGTTCTTAGCTCTTTCCGTGTCTTCACTTCTATAAACTATAAGGACTCCGCGTTAAAAAAAAGCTTGAGATTCACTCACATGCACATTTTGTTCTCAGTCTTTCGACTGACTTCAGCTAATAGAGTGTTTGTGTACTTTCCTAATGAGGAAAATAGCTGCACTGTAACTCTCTCATGTGGCTGTTGGCGCCATTGTAGTGCTCAAAGGGCAAAAAAAGGTAGCCTCCGAGGTCCCCTTCAGCCTGCAGTCCTCTTCTGAGAAGACTTTCAGCTCTAGGAATGGGCATAATTATGCTTAATCTCTTCCCCAGTTGAAAGGAAAATAGTGGCCGTGAACATAATGCAGTTCTTGAAAAGAAGGTTGTCATAGATTCAAGATGGAGAACGGTATTGGTCTGTCGGTTTCCATCTGACCCGCATGCACAGGTGCGGAGGCAAGCCCAGGCTGTGTTCACTGAGACAAAGTCACAAACCATTGAGAGCCAAGTGTCAGGAGGCTTTTTCTCTTTTGGCCTTAGCTCATTGCCTCAAGTTCTAGTAGAAATTAAATAAAACACACCCTGTGCACCCTCTTATACACGCTGTGCACGCCCTCACACACACCCTGTGCACGCTCCTACACATGCTGTACACGCCCTCACACACCCTGTGCACGCCCTCACACACACCCTGTGCACGCCCTCACACACACCCTGTGCACGCTCTCACACACCCTGTGCACGCCCTCACACACCCTGTGCACGCCCTCACACACCCTG